GACGTGATGCTTGCAATGGTGGCTTTGTACCCAATTTCGGCTTTGGTAGCAGGGACAATTTGGCTGGTGGGCATCAATTGTGCCAAAGGAATGGACAAGCAGCAATGTTCTTGATCTATGTAACCATTTCTTTGTTAATACTTTTACAGATCATCATTTGTATCAGATACTACACTAATCTATACCTCCTTTTTATATAATTCTTATTTCTATATTCTATTTATATCAGAGTGCCTCAGGTTTTCATTTCCATCTGAAGTCAACAGTGAGTGCCACCGGTGTGGGGAACATGGAATAATGGAACATTGACAGAAAAGCATCTCACTCTGTAAAATTTCTCTCACAATACTCTAATTAACAATTTCTATGGTAGCCCTTGGCCTTTCAGAATTGCTTCAGACAATTTTTGGAAGGATAAGAATAAATGCAAGAGCTTAATTTCTGTTTGAAGCATCATCACCCTTATGAACACTAAACCTATTGAAGTTACTTCAGATTCAGTATTGAAGCCTGCCCTTAAATATCTGCCACAGAACATCAAAATAGCATTATATACAACATTGTGCTATGCATTTTGCTTAGAACACAGAGCCTCTATCCCATACACCGTATTTGTGCCAACCATTCATTTGTTTGGCTGTGTTACCTCCCAAGCCAGCCTGCACTGGTTTTGTTAGAGTTATTAGAAGATATGCCTGTTCTTATTTCACAATGAATTTAAAATATATAGGAAGCCTTTCTTTATTTCTACATATTTAAATTGTTTTCAGAGCAACAGACTATTATTGTAGTGTTCATTTGTGTGAATATGGTTCCCCAATGTATTGTCTGCTTAGTCATTCCCACATGGCATCTTCGAACAATGTAGCACTTCATCTGAGTGATCAGCAATTGCATGAGACCCAGGGGGACTTGATGTGTGTGATCCTTGCTGAACGAAGGGTTCTGGTTAGGGTCCACCCTGAAGTTTTTCTTGACAAAGCACAGCTGCATCGCCTGGACATCCCTACCTAACCTTCAACACAATCCAAAGGCTACCTTCATCAATGTTCACTTGAACTGGAAGCTGTTGAGACTAAGTATATTAAGCTTTTAAAGTTTTCTTTATGTGTGGCACTCATCTTCCTCAGCCTCACATACAAAGACACACCAAGACACTGAAAACCAACCTTGAGCAACAGAACAATTCATTGCAATGTTCAGTGACCTAAATCTACTCTGCGTGCAAGGGGTAATGACTTCATCCTCAACCACATATCCGAATCCATGTCCATTACCAGATACTCATCTGAATATTGTGATCCATAATCTGTTGCAAGTAGTGTTTGAAAGTCCGGTTCGGTCCGGTTTTTTGATGCCCAGGGGCGTTAACCGTAACCGTAACCGGTCTGCCTTTTCCCCAGAAGTCAAAAGACCAGACCGGACCGCAAAAAGACCGCAGACCGCGGTTTTTTGCGGTCTATAGACCAGTTTCGGTCTGCATCAGTTTTAACCGGTTTATGACCGGTCTTTAGGCCAATATTTTAAAATTATGAATCGGTAAATTTATTAACATCTCTAATAGCTTCAAAACGAGCCCAAGAACGTTAAATCCCGTTAGGTATTGGTGCTTCTATAAAATAAGTCTGGTACATCTATTATTCCCAAAAGTAATTTACATTTTAATTCATATCTCTCTCGTTTTTTTACCAAATCGTACGTTCTTGGGTGCGTTTTAAAGGGTATTTAAGGGGCTACAAAAAACCGGTCCAAACCGGTCAAGACCGGTTCACGTTAACCGGTCTTTTTCCGGTCTTTACATTTTAAAAATAAAAGACCGTAACCGCAGGTCCGGTCTTTTGCGGTCTTGGTCCGGTCTGGTTACGGTCTTTTTCCAGTCACGAGACCGGACTTCCAAACACTAGTTGCAAGAAGACCTCCACGAATGATTGATTCAACGGAGATAAAAACTGAGAGTGAGCGATGTCGGGCCTTGACTCGATGAAGCGAAGGTCATTATCCC